GTTTCTACCTCCCTTCCGCTCTGCAATCAATTAATATATATGTATATATGAAAATACAAGGCATACCTCGTTTTATTGTGCTTCAATTTTTGCGTTTTGCAGATATTGCGTTTGTTTTGCAAATTGAAGGTTTGTGGCAACCCTACATTGAACAAATTGAAAACTTCCCAGAAAGGAGTCACCATTCTAGATGCCATTTAGAACATTTGTGATTCACAGAAAGAGGTGAAAATATCAATATTAACAGGAGTTTGGAAATTGACTCCAACCCTCATGGATGACATTGAGGGGCTCAAGTCTTCTGTGGAAGAAATAACCACAGATGTAGAAACAGCAAGAGAACTAGAATTAGAACTGGAGCCTGAAGTGTGACTCAACTGCTGTAACCTCATGATAAAACTTGAACAAACGAGAAATTGCTTCTTTTGGAGAAGGAGAAAAAGTGGTTCCTTGAGATGGAATCTACTCTTGGTGAAGATACTGTGAAGACTGTTGAAATGGCAACAAAGGACTTAGAATATTACATAAACTTAGTGCTAAAGCAGTAGCAGGGTTTGAGTGGATTGTCTCCAATTTTGAAAGAAGTTCCACTGTGGGTAGAATGCTATCACACAGCATCCCATGCTATAGAGAAATCATTCTCATGAAAGGAAGTCCATCAATGTAGTAAACTTCATTGTTATCTTATTTTAAATAATTGCTACAGCCACCCCAACCTTCACCCTGATCGGCCAGCCGCCATCAATAAATATCAAGGCAAGACCCTTCACAAGCAAAAAGATGACGACTCACTTAAGGCTCAGATGATGGTCACCAGTTTTTAGCAGGAAGGTATTTCTAAATTAAGGTATGTGCATTGAATTTTTAGACATAATGTCACTGCACACTTAACAGACGATAATATAATGAAGATATAACTTTTATATGCACTGGGAAACCCCAAAATTCACGTAACTCGCTTATGTGACATTCGCTTTATTGCAAGGGTCTGGAACCGAACCTGCATTCTCCGAGGTGTGCCTGTAATGCCCACGGCAGACCTCAGTTTGGAAGCCACCTCCTCTGGTTGATATTTTCACCTCTTTCCTCTGGGAAGTGTTCCCAGGCTATCCTAGGTCCGCAGCAGGTCACTCTCAGCACACTTTAGGCTCCTCCCCGTCTCCCACTAAACTATGAGCTGTGGGACAACGGGGCCTGGTCCCTTCTCTCCTGCTTCCTTTGTTTCAAACACAGTTCCCTTACCCAACAAAACCTTCATAAATGAATTATAAATAACTACAGTGTGCCCTCCTCCAGGGCGGTAGCCTTTTGATAGTTTCGTCTGCTTCCCAGTCCCTAACAGTCACTCAATGCAGCAATTGTTAGTGGAGGGGAGACATCCCTGAGGGCCAAAAGACCAAATCTGGTTTCCTGCTTCTAACTAAAGTAACTTTAGACAACTTAAATTAGGCCTCAATTTCCTTCTTTGCAGAAGGGAGTTACACAATCCTTAACTTGGTTACCTGGGGGCTTTTAGCAAGAATCAAATATCTGGATAAAATGTACTGAGCTTTTACTTTGTGCTAAGTGCTTAGATATATTAAACGTAATCCTTCCAGAAGTCTTATGAATTAAGTATTGTTGTCATCCCCATTTTTAGAGATGAGGAAACTGAGGCACAGGAAGGTTACCTAACTTGGCTAGTAACTAACACACAGCTAGTAAGTGGCAGGTCCAGTGCGGAACGCAGGGGCTCCGGAAACAAGGACACGCGCCTTGAACTCTAAGGAGCTACGGAAACGTGATGTCGGTCATCTACCGTCTTTCTCCCGGTGCCCGCTTCCGCTGCGGTGCGGTACCTGCATTCGAGGTGCCGCCCTGGGACCCAGGAGTCGGAGACATGAGCCCCCCATCAAGGCCTTCAAGGGCGGAAGGAGTAATCGCTGCATATTGAGGACGGGGCCCGGCCGCCACCTCCACACCCCGGCGCTCGGAGGTCTCTCCTCTCTGCCTCGGGGAAGAAGCACTTCCGAGTCACACTAAGCAAGCTCCTCCCCCCGAGACAGCGGGGGTGAGCAGTGACTGCGCCTGCGCCGGCGACTTGGCGTTCGCGGGGGCTGCTGGGGTGTGGACGTCAGGGGCGCGCGGAGGCGCGCGCAGCGGTGGGAACGAGCTTCCCTGGTCGCGCGCACCCAAACCCGGATCCGAGTGGAAACCGTAGCC